ACGAGACCCCCACGGGGTGAGTGGGGGGGGGAGATCGGGAGTGCGGGTCCCAGTATGGACGGGGAGGAGGGGGGGCTGGACGCCGGAGAGGGTCTCTCCTGAGCGAAGGGACGAACTCCTCCTGCAAAATAGATTTTAACGCTATGCCCTGATCTCCCGCTGTAGGGAGCCAGCATGGTCTCTGGATGGGGCGGGGTGGGGGGAGACTGAGGGAACAGCTGCAGAAGAAGCGCTGATGCATTTATGGAGCCCGAGCCCGCGATGGTTTTCTTAGGACAGGGTCATACACGCATGTTCTTTGCTGGGTGATGATGGCCCTATGGGAATGGGTTAAGCATCTCCCTACTGCCTGAAATGTAATTCTGTTCCCTTGGGTGTTGTATTCATTGGCCAGTTATTTGCCATTGAGAAATCTAGGAGGTACAAACAACAAGCTCAGGGGAAACCCACTAGTGTTTTGCAGAGTGGACCCGATTCCAGCAGAGTGACAACCCCCCTCCCCATTTTAACCATGCAGATTTTTAAGTTAAAAGCAGCATGACTGGCAATTGAAAAGAGAGTGTCCCAGATATAATACCGAAAACAAGACTTTTGAGTCATCAGACAGGCTGCGTGCAGTGAGGTCAGTTCATATACTTGGTGGCAGATAGGTTTTGAGATGATATGAATGCATAGCAGGCCTGGGCCTCTTGTGAGGAAAAAAAACGGTTGATCATACCTCAGTAGCAGTAACATGAGCTTTCGTGCTGTGCTTTGCTTCAGGAGTGCATAGAAAGATGAAAGGTAAGAATCAAGATAATCCAGGTATATGATGATGTGGACTTACTTAACCACCAGATTTCTGTCCTTAACTGATAATGGGTAAGGGTGTGAGAGGCCCTGGTTTGCAAATATAGATCAGATACCTTTCTCACCGTGGTGACTGACACAGACTAATGGCTACAGGTGTTTCAAATGAGTGCATTTATCTACCTAATAAACGTTCCATCTCTTACGGTGGTCGCTGACTAGTCCGATTTGGCAGGGAAAATCTTAGTACGTTTTGGGTCAAATTCAAGCCTTGTATCTTTTTTAGGCAGTGGGGGAGGAGGGAGGAGGCCTACTTTTCTTGGGCCTCCCCATGGATGGCAAAACATATTTCAAACCCCACTCCTCTTAACATAGGCTTGAGCTGGTCAGTAGCTTGCTGACATTGTACATAATAATACTGGAGCAATAGTACTTGTCCATGGAAGATTACTTAGTTTTAAAAGTGCTGTAAGCATCAAAAACTTGAAGTGGTTTGTATGCAGTACTGGATATTCCAGGTGCCCACCCATCCAGCATCCTCTACATAGGAAGCCATGATCTTCAGAAAGGAACTGTGCTGCAACTCTTTTGCCTGAGAGTTGATGCTCTTTACACCGAGGATGTTTCTTGTGCGAAGCATCATCCAGTCACACGAGTCCACACCTGCAGTTTGAAGTCCTGTGATCCCAACATAGGATTACCACCTCAGAGAAGCTAGGCCAGAACCAGCCAGGGCTTGTTGCTTTCTCTCGCCAATCCCATCCCCCCCTCCCATTCCAGATTCCATTCCCATCCTGGGCAGCAGCTGCCGGGGGCTGTGAGGCTATTTTTAACCCCCCGTCTGTCCGCCTCTTGTCTCTGTGCACATTTGGGCTTTGACGGGATGGAGGGTTGTGAGCTCAGAAGGTATTAATTCCTCTTTTACTAACGAGGGGAGCATGTGGAACAGATAAGGTGCCCAGGCACCAGCATATGTCTGCTTGAGATCGTCTTCAGCCTCCATCCCAGGGATCTGCTGTTCCAGCCTGGCATTCACCCCAGAATCAGCAGCTCAGATCCAGATCTGGAAACTTTCCTTTGAGGAATCCTGTCTTCCCCCTATAGGGGAGGGAGAGAACTAAAGCACAGGACCTTTCGTTGTTCAGGGAGTAGAAGATCCAGAGCCACAGTGCTCTGCCAAAAAAATAATTTCAGTTTCTAATTGGCCAATGTGAATCTCTCCCCTGTATATCAGTTAAAATGGGAGAAACAGAAGAGGAGGCGGTGGAAGGTAATAGGTAGGTACCCAGTATTGCTAAAAGAGGATGATGGTATTTCTTGATGGATGATTGTACCATTGATATACTTTGCGAAGCAGTACAAACCAAAAAAGATAGGTTCCTGTCTCAAAACGCTTATGGTCTTCACTAGATTTCAGGGAAGTAAGAGATTTAAAGGTAGCGGAAGGAATATGAGGAAACGAGGTCACATGTATTTAAGCTTATGTGTGTAATAACTGTGGTTCTTTCTCTCTAGAGAGAGCTGTCAATTAGAAACAGGTAAAGAATGTCTGTGAGTGGTTGTGTTTCACAACAGGAATAAGATAAATGTAAAACGAAAAAAATAATATACTGTAGCTTCTGATGACTTTTCTCTCTTCCCTCTCTTCCTGCTTCTCCCTCTCTGCTGGCCTTCCATTTCCAGGCCACTGAGTCCCTCATGCTCAGATGATGTTCCACGTACGCCACCAATACCTCCCCTGCCTCTCCCTGCCGCAATTGGAGGAGGGCTGTTGGGGTCTGATGATGAAGAACAAGAGGACCCTCGAGATTACTGCCGAGGTAATTCATAGAACCATAGAATCATGAAGTTGGAAGGGGCTATCAGGCCATCAAATCCATCCCCTTGTCAAAGCAGGAATACAAATCAAAGGATATCTGGCAGATGGTTGTCTAAATTTCTCTTGAATGCCTCCAGTGTTGGAGCATTCATCGACTCCCAAGGTAACTGGTTCCATTGTTGTACCGCTCTAACAGTTAGGAAGTTTTTCCAGATATTCAGCCGAAATCTGGCTTCCTGTAACTTGAGCCCATTGTTGTGTGTCCTGCACTCTGGGATGACTGAGATCTTGCCCCTCTGTATGACAGCCTTTCAAGTATTTGAAAAGTGCTATCATCTCTCCCCTCAGTTTTCTTTTCTCAAGCCTAAACATGCCCAGTTCTTTCAGTCTTTCCTCAAAAGGAAAGTTCACCTCTGCGCTAAGTAATAATGATGAATATCTTTTTAATGAATTGCTCATATGTAGCACTGGATGGCTTTAATTATGATTCAGTAAGTAGTGTGTGGGTACTGCTTCTCCAAATGCCACAACTTAGTTAACTGATGTCATTAATTAGTTCCGCTCGTCTCCTTCCAGGTGGGTATTACCCAGTAAAGATTGGGGACCTGTTCAATGGGCGCTACCATGTGGTGCGGAAACTCGGCTGGGGGCACTTTTCTACCGTCTGGCTTTGTTGGGACATTCAGTGAGTATTGGGCAAAGGTCAGAGAATATACACCCTTATTTTTCTGACTCCCTGCTGAAAAACGAAGGAGAACTGTTTGCAATGATCAGGATGCACACAGAGAAAGTTTCATTTTGTTTTGCAGGGAGAGGAAATAGGAGCATAGAGAAAGAGACTGGTACATCATACAGATCCAGAATAAGGAAGAGAGGAATGGTTGAGAGCTGCTATGTTAATGATGGCCTTCCCTGTTCTGAGAACTTTAGTAGACACAAAAGCCCCTTTGACCCCTTTCAGACCATTCATTGTGTGCAGTGAGGCCTTAGTCCAAGAGTGATGAGACTGGAAAACAGAATCTAGAGCAGGTGCACAGAACTAGAGATATTTGCTTGCAATTAGTTATTTCAACACAGTTTCATCAACACTAATGAAGGCTTTATTCTACGGTGTTAACCTGTAGAGTCAAGGGAAACCCTGGGGTAGGAGAGGAAACTCAGCTCTCCTGACTGCTCTTTGATTGTGGATATGGAAAGTTGGCTGTGTGTGCAAATGGATATGTGGTCCTGTGTTCACACACCTTGAATCAACCCATGAGAATCTCGGATGCCTCTGGGGATGCTTGGGTCAAGCATGGAGTAGGCAACATAGCCACGTGTCTTATAGCAATGGTGGGTGCTGTTGCTTTTACTGTTTGGGCTACTGAGGAGTCTGTTTTGCTTTTATGAAGTTGTTTAATACTTTGGGAGGCGGGGGGGGGGAGACAATAAACTCCTAAATTACTATATCTTTTTTCACCAAGAGCCATCTTGAGAATGCTGCTGGAATTACGAAGTGGAAAGTACCGTATTTTTTGCTCCATAAGACGCACCTCCATAAGACGCACCAAATTTTTAGGAGAAGAAAACAGATTTTTATTTTCCTGTTTTCTTCTCCTAAAAATTTGGTGCGTCTTATGGAGAGGTGCGTCTTATGGAGCAAAAAATACGGTACTTTCCACTTCGTAATTCCAGCAGCATTCTCAAGATGGCTGGGGGCAAAATCGCCACTTTCAGGGCCTCTTCTGAAGCTTCCCAAGCCTCAAAAGAGTTCCAGAAGGTGGCGATTTCACCGCCTCTGGCCCGGCAGGGGGGCAAGGTGAGCCTCCAAAGGGTCCTAGGGTCTGTTCCAGGACCCTTGTGAGGCTCCCCCCACCCTCCCACAGGCTCAGAAAAGGTCCCGGAAGCTGGTGATTTCACCCCTGCTGGCCCCATGGGGGGTGGGGGGAGCCTCGCAAGGGTCCTGGAAGGCTCACTCGGAACCTTGTGAGGCTCCCCCCACGGGGCCAGTGGGGGAGAAATCGCCAGCTTCGCTCCATAAGATGCACAGACTCCCCCCCCCACTTTTTTTGGGGGGAGGAAAGTGGGTCTTATGGAGCAAAAAATATGGTAAGTATTTTTTAAATGGAGGTGGGAGAGGAAAGCTAGGAATAACTCAGTCCCCTCCCTCATTCCCTTCCTCAGGCGAAAGCGTTTTGTAGCTCTCAAAGTGGTGAAGAGTGCGGTGCACTATACAGAGACGGCGGTGGATGAGATAAAGCTGCTAAAATGTGTGAGTTTTGTGCCTTTCCACTCTGCTCCCCTCAGATCCTGGAATGATTGCAGTGGTTAGTTCCTAAAAAGGGAAGTAATGGGGATCCGGGGGTGCCTGCAAACCTGTTTATTTTGGGCAGTGTGGCTCTTTCTCCTCTTGCATCTTCTTCTTCTTAGCATGTCAGTGTCCTCTAATGAGGGAAATACAAACTGTGCATGCCTCAAAGCACTTCATACTCATTCAGATACTCCAGGACTCAGTTTGGGTGCCAAACGCCACTCTCTGGGTCTAATCCAGGATATGCTTTGGTTCACATTATTCACTGGGGTGGATCCGCTATTGTTTTGTTTAATATGAAGTCTGACAGCCATCTGTCCCTCTTTTTGCTGTCAAATGCAATTTGTGCTGTAAAAGTAGCCATGTATGTAAATCTAATGGTGACATCTCCAGAACAAGGGTGGGCAACTCTCTCCCATGCTAGCTCTAGAGTGTGTAAATCCTCTTGATGTCAGAAATAGGATAGATCAGCCATTCTCAATCGGGGTGGGGTGGGGGAGTCCTAGCACATTTGAAAGTGGCCACAGACTGGAAACAGTTCTTCATACATCACCTTCTAAAGTTCATCATGTGACTTATACAATCCTGATTGGGTCTATATTTCTTCCGTATTGTGTTTATGGGCATGGCCAAAAAAAGATTGAGAAAGGCTGAGGTAGATGACTGCCTGAGAGAGTGGCTTTTCAGTCATGGTACCAAGGGTTCGGAACAGTTTGCCAAGGATTACTCCACCTAGTTTGGAAAGGGAAACAAAGAATGTTTTCTTTCCACCAAGCTTTTGCTGGTCACCATTTTGTGTGCTGTGTCTTTTTTTTAAGCTTTGGAAGTTCTTCCTTGATTGCCCTGAGTTTTTATTGAAACTAGTCTTGTTCTTATTATTGATTGCTTTTATTTTGGTTGTAAGTCACCTTGAGGGTTTGTTAGAAAGACAGGATTCAAATCCTTAAAATAAATAAAACACACACAACCCTTCAGGAGCTCTACAACTTCATATTGAACCTGAGGGACAGTCACTACACACTTTAAGACAGTTCATTGTATATTGATATCCCGCATGTTGGAGCCAGCAGAGTTTCTAGTCACAGTGTCCCCTTGAAATGCTAAATGTCTTCCTGTAGGGAAGTCACCTGCCAGCATGTTCTTTTTGCTACTGTGGATGCCACTTTTCTGCATCTCTCTCATCTATAGGTTTAGATCTACAGCATGGCAGTTTGGGCCCTGGGGCTTCTAGTAGCTGACCCTGGTCTAAGATGCTTCCATTTGCTATCGCCTCAGTTTCTTAATTTGCATTCCCCTTTTCACCTTCCAGGTACGAGACTCCGATCCCAGTGACCCTAAGCGTGAGAATATTGTCCAATTGATTGATGACTTCAAGATCTCAGGAATCAACGGTGTCCGTATCCTTTTGCATATGAAATCACTGCTGCTACTTCTGTTCAGATAATATTGGGGTCCACTCTTGTTCTGATAACAAAATAACTTGCTTCTCTATCTATTTGCCTTGGATGTTACTGAACTGCTCTAGACAAACTTTCATCTCTAACTGCTGGTGAGACAATGGGTGAACATTTTCTCAGCAAGCAAAAAACAAAAAACCTAACCCAGCTTCTCCATGGAAATAGAAAAATAGTTTACCAGGAGAAATCTTCTCACCAACATTTAGTCCAGAATAATTTTTCTACAGGGAAACCTTCAGTCCTGCAGTCTGTCTGGGGAGACCAGTGTTGAGCTGTTGGTCTTAATGAGGCCTGTTGAGGATGAGGAGAAATAGCTGCAGCCTTAGGTGACTGATGAATAAAGACACAGGTGTTCATAAGCCACAAGGATTTCATTATGGTTAGGGAAACACTGACATGTTTGCAGCTAGGGCTGGGCTCGGCCAGGAGCAGTGTTTCATCAGTCACCTAAGGCTGCAACTATTACTCTTCATCCTCAGCAGGCCTCATTCAGACAGAGGGGGCATGGAATATCATTTGCTGTGAGCATGCAACATCAGAGACACCTTTTGGCCAGGATCTGTGATAAATATGATGGCGAACATTCTTTTCGAGAATGTTAAGGAAGGCGGTGGGCAAGTATGTTCCTTGATTTTCACACATGGCCTCCTGAAAGATAAAATAAATGGAGTGGGGGGGTGTAGTGGTCATATAGTCAGACTAGGAAGATGGAGAACCAGATTCAGATCCTTATTCAGACATGAAACTCATAGTGGGATCTTGGGCCGGTTGTACCCTCTCAGCCTGACCTACCTCATGTGATAATTTTAAGGATTTGAAAAAGGAGGAGAGGAAATAACCTTGTACATTGTTTTAAGTATCCTGGAGAAAAAAATCAATACCTACAATGTTCCTGCTTTATTGTTTTATGCCTTTTAAGGAAGAGTCATTTTTTTCCACATTCTACGTGGTGTGTTTCCTCCGTCCACTCATATTCTGTCTGCCCTGTTGAGATATAAAGGGAGTGATGACAAACAGACAGTAATTACCTGCAGAAAGTCTTCCCTTCCTTTGCCAACACAGCCCACATCTTACACTTACTCAACAAGAAGTGTGGTGTCCATAGAGACCCGTATTCAACATCCAGGTGCCTCAAAATTTTGTATTCATCAGAACAATGACACTACTCTTTCCCTCTCCTTTTGCCCCAATTAGACCCATTTTAAAAATTATTCACAAATAACGAGAGGTAAAAAGATAGTAGACAAGGTTGTGATGACATTGTTCACAGTCACTCCAGTAGCTCTTATCTCTCCTTAATTTGGAACCTACCCAGACGTCTGTATGGTCCTGGAAGTTTTAGGGCACCAGCTGTTGAAATGGATCATCAAGTCCAACTACCAAGGGCTTCCTATACCTTGTGTCAAGAGCATCCTACGTCAGGTAAAGATGGATTTTTGTTATAATGGTTTCTTGGGGGATGAACTTGTACACCCAAAATTGTTCTTCACTTTCTTATTTATCTACCTAGACATAGATTATATATCTGTATCTCAGGATATCATCACAGTGGTCCACTGCCAGTTTTGATCAGTTGCCCCATTTTAATCAGCATTAACATCACCAGTGTTTATAGTAGTCCTAGCCTGCTTTTGCACTGTGTGCCAGTCAAAGGCCTTGAGGCTGCTGCACACATGCGTTTTCTTCTCTAGAGAGCGCTGGAACCTGAGTGCCCACTTAAGTTAACAAACTCTGCCAACACTATGTGAAGCCCCAGAGTAACCAGTACCACAGTTTCTTGAAATGAAAAATGAAGGACCCTGTATTTATTCCTCACCTTGAGTGTGCATCTCCCTTCCCAGGTGTTGCAGGGCCTTGACTACCTCCACACAAAGTGCAAAATAATCCACACAGACATCAAGCCAGAGAATATCCTGCTGTGTGTAGACGAGAGTTATGTGCGGCGCCTGGCAGCTGAGGCCACTGTCTGGCAACAGGCAGGTGGGCCTCCTCCCTCTGGCTCTGCAGGTAAGCACTTATCATCCTACCCATGCTTTTTAATCTCTAGACATATATGCGGTGTAGGAAGGATTAACAAGTGGATCTGTTCTTCGGTCAGCACTAGCTGGACCAGACAAGATTTAGCAGGGGAAGAAATTAGAAATTGTCGCTCACAAGCAATATTATCTCTAAGCCGCGCACATGAGCACTCACCCAGAGTGCCATCGAGGCCGCACACAATCAGCCGGCAACCAGTTTGTTTACTTCCTATTTCAAATGAAGCCCCGCTGAGCCCACACACACACGCACAGAGCGAGGCCCCCGCACAGCAAGACAGAAAATTAGAGGGAAAGTTGCTCACAAGCAACCGTTTCTGCAAGATCGTGAAGGGTTCAAGTTTGCGGATCTGTGACTAATACTAAAACTACCAGATTCCCAGTGAGTGGGTGAGCAATGGGTAGGCATCAGATGCACTAGAATGCCGATATTGTTTAGAATTGTGTTTATAGGAACATGGACAGAACTAGGGAAATCAGACAGTTGGTGTCCAGTGACATTGAGGAACTTAAATTGTCCAGAAGGTTTTTGACAAAGCATAACACAGCCACAGAGAGGGCATTGATTGACCTGTCGGTGATGTGAGACAGAAGAGAGTCGAGTGGTGTGAACTGCAAGAGAAGAGTATATCATGTGATGAGTAGTCCCCTTGGTTTTCACGAGGAGACTACTGTAAAATGTCAGCGGGAAATAAGTACACACACAGGTACACACATCACCGCCCAATTTGTCAGCAAATGCCATTTCTTCATCACTTCTTCCATATCCCCTTTTTGCCTCTGATTTGAAAAATGGAAGGCCCGGCTGTTCCCTATGGAGGAGTCAGAACTGGCCTGAGGGATTCCGGTGCCTGATCTTCAGGAATGGAGATGGAAAGTGGGCCGGGAAGGGGAATAGCTGGCTGCGTGATGTGTTGCGTCGGCATGGCTGAAGGCAACAAGAAGGGAGAAACGGAAGACGAGTCTAGCTCCTCCCCACACCCATGTACATGTGCACAGCAGTTCTCCTAGTTTTCCCTACTTGTGGTCTGAGGCCTTCTGAAGTTGTTGATCACTGTAGTCTTCTCTTTTCTCTGTGGTGGAGGGTGGGAATGAGAGATAGGCATTTGATGCATTTAGGCTGGAGAATTAAAGGGAAGGGCTAAACCGCAGAAGCCTGTGCTGCAGGGTCAGAAGACCAAGCAGTTGTAAGATCGAATCCACGCGACGGAGTGAGCTCCCGTCACTTTGTCCCAGAATGAGAGATAGGCATTTGATGCATTTAGGCCGGAGAATTAAAGGGAAGGGTAGAGAGTGAGCTGGATAGCTCAGTGAGTTAGTGAGTTAGGTACTCTCTGTGTTGTCCTCTAAACGTTCTGCCATTTTATTGCCCCAGGCCTGACTTAAAGGCTGGAAGATAGGGCAATGACTAACTTATTGCTAGAAGGGGGGGGGGGTCCATACTGTGAATGGTTTGTGTGAAACTTACCTGAATTTTGCCACCAAGATCTAAAAGCATTAATGAACCCTCGGAGGACTGAAGCCTGCTAGAGGCCTTCTGTCTTGCAAGATCTACTTGATCAGGCTAACATTCTGTAAAGGATTGCCAAAAGGATTATCCCCCAATAATTCCATATTGGGGACAGTGACAAGCCTTTTCTGGCTGAACTCTGGGACAAAAGAGGTGCCGAGAGTGAGCTGGATAGCTCAGTGAGTTAGGTACTCTCTGTGTTGTCCTCTAAACGTTCTGCCATTTTATTGCCCCAGGCCTGACTTAAAGGCTGGGAGATAGGGCAGTGACTAACTTATTGCTAGAAGGGGGGGGTGTCCATACTGTGAATGGTTTGTGTGAAATTCACCTGAATTTTGCCGCCAAGATCTAAAAGCATTAATGAACCCTCAGAGGACTGAAGCCTGCTAGAGGCCTTCTGTCTTGCAAGATCTACTTGATCAGGCTAACATTCTGTAAAGGATTGCCAAAAGGATTATCCCCCAATAATTCCATATTGGGGACAGTGACAAGCCTTTTCTGGCTGAACTCTGGGACAAAAGAGGTGCCGAGAAGACAACAATGGCTTGATAGCTGGAGAACTGAACTGGAGAACTGGATTTACTTGGTTCTCTTCCTCACTTGCCCTGTCTTTTCTTAGTGTTACTGGTTGATGTTTGTTTGCTTTGGACTTCCTGGCTGTTTGATTCTGGGAATCATTTCTGTCTCTTTCTCTCTCCCCCACTCCATCTGTGCTCTTCTTCCCTCAGTCAGCTCTGCACCCCAAGAAAGCCTGGTAAGTCTCCCCAACCCCTGGTGCCTCTCTACACCCCCCCC